CCCCCCTCGCCTCAAATGGTGCTAGGGGGACACAGTGCGGAAGAAGAGCCCTGGGTGATGCCAGAGTGGGGATGAGAAGGGATGAAGAACAAGAAGGGAGTTAGTGTGTGCTGGGGGAGCAGCAGGAGAAGGCTTGGGGCTGGGGAAGGGCTGGCTGTGACTTGACAGCCACCATGAAGCGGCTAAGCTCGGTAGGAGAGCCCCAGCTCTTCTGAGGATCAGCCTGACCCTGGGCACAGCTCTGAAGGGAGTCAGGAGGCACTCAGCCTGGGGGGAGAGCCCCCCTCCCAGCACCTGCTGTGAGAGCGTTGGGTCCCCCCCACACCATGCCTCTTTCCACGCAGCTCTGGAGGGGAGATTTACCACCACACTGACCGTCACCAGCATAAGGCCAAAGTCAGGGACCTTGGAGAAAGGAGAAGGGACCTCCTGCAGGTCCACAGGGCAAGACCAGCCAGCCCCGCTGCCCAGGGCTGCCTGAGCCCCGGGGGGAGGAGGGAAGACATGCTGCATTTCTGCATCATTGCAAAACAGTATGCGATAAACCAGCCATATGCACACAGGCTGCTTCTCCCTCTCTGAATCTGAGTATGCCATGGACGAAACCTGCACCCTCTGCTTGCTGCTTCCCTGCCCCTCGGAGGAAGATCCCCCGCCATTTTTTTTTTTCTCATGAGCTGAAGGATGGATCCTGCAGCTCTGATTGCTATGGTGGGTGTCAGGCATCCATTAGGAACAAAACGCCCCAATTGCCGGGACTGCTCCTGCATGTAAAGTGCTGGGAGAGGCAACTGGGAAAGGTTTCAGGGACAATGTCTCAATGATGCATTTTGATACAGCATTTTATGTGTGAAATGAACACATGTCGGTGCCAGGATGTAGCTGCTGCCGGATGGATCCGGGCTAACAGGCAGTAATGAATTATCAGCCGGGAGGAGCTAAGCCAGCCTCCCCCCCTCCGCTTCCTCCTGCACTGCTGATACTGGAGGTGTTCACAATGAAAGCGCAGGCTCAGAGACAGGTTTCAGGCTTCCAGCCGGGCTTCCCAATGCCTGGGGCTGACATGCCACACCTGGGGGGCAGGGCAGAGGCTGTGCCCTCTGTGCCATCGCAGGGAAGAGGGGGAAAATCCCATTCCCAGGTATCCTGTGCTGTGGCCAGCCACGTCCTGCTGTTTCCTCGCAGGAGGCTGCAGGGGGATCTGCAAAGAACACGCATATGTGCACACAGACCCCCAGACACAGAGGTTTGCTTTGGGAGCGGCCAGAATCAAAGTGGATCTGGGCCAGCATCACCTGCCCAAGGGCAGCTTTGGTTGGGCTGAGGTAATCAGGAGGGTTTGGGAAAGGGGAGCAAATACCGAGGAAGAAAATCAGGACAAGGTTTCTGCTGAAGATTAAGTCAGCACCTTTGGATATACAGAGCTGGCTTCAACCCAGCCGAGAAGATGGAGGAGCCCTAGGGACGGGCTGAGAAGGAGCCTGTGGTCTTTGCTGTCTTTGCGTGGACTGATTTTCTGGTGCTTGAACACGATGTCATCAGAAACCCACAGCTGAATTTTGCAGGTGAGGTAGCAGAGACCTTCTTGCATACGACTAGCTCCTGCTGGAGCAAAATTGGTCTCAGCTTGCTTCATCTGAAACACATGAAGCCGCCCCCGCCCTGTGTGAGCTCTCCGAAATTGGCTTCCCTGAACTCATTAAGAAGGGCTATTTGTATTCGGCAGCCATGAACTGGGCTTTGCAGCCTTTTACACAGAGGACCAGCCCAGAGAGCTCCCCTGCTTCCCCCAGCTGGGCTTGCGGTTACCAGCACCGAGCAGCTCAGTGTGTGCGCACCTCCTACCACTCCCAGGAGGGGAGATTTGGCTGAAGCCTGTTTAAAAAAAAATCCAGCCCAGGGCTGTTCAGTAATGCAGCTTGAGGCCTCGGATACGAGCAGCGGAAGAGCTCCAGGGCCAGATATTCCCCTCTCGCCTGCAGCTGCCCTTGTCCTGTTGTGGGATCAGCTCTGGGGTAGAGGAGGTCATTGAGCACACAGTCCTTCCCCAAGCCAGCACTGCTGGCAGGGGCAAGGGCTTCCTGCAAGCACTAGGGAATTACCCAAGCCCTACAAGAACAGCAGGATGTTTCTTATGCAGGTAAAGAAGCAGCTTTGCAGCTTACTTGGGAGGCAGCTGGTCTTCCACGTGAAAGAGGAGGATCTTTTCCCCCCTCTTCAGTTTTACTCTTCAGGCTCCAGCCCTGAGGCTGGCAGGCGATGATACAGCACGAGCTACGTCCTTGGGGCCATCTCTGCTTGGCTCTTCCTTTAGGTCTTGATTGTAAACGGTCAGTTGGCAGGGGAAGGCACAGAGCGAGAGGGGAGGGTAGCATTTCCCTTCGCCAGGGAATTGGGGTTCCCACCCCAGGCAGCTGGAATTGCATGCCCTGGGTTGCAAGGGAGCAATGGAGTAGGGCTCCAGGCACTGTCAGTCTCAAAGCTGCTCTCAGGGTCCTGCCCTCAGCCACATCTTCAGCTGCTGGTGGTGTGGCTTTGCGGGGGCATTGTTGGCATACACAGATCCCCTGCTACTAAGGGTCACTCTGGCCAGGACAACACATACATCAGCTTTGTGCTAGCACCAACAGAAGGATGTCCGGGCTCTTAATTTGGGCCGTGTAAAGAGGTATCCCTTCCCTGAATCAGGGATGTTCCAGATGGTGAGTTGGAGCATTCTGGTACCAAACACAGCTGGCTGGGCTCCATGGATGGAGACAGGCAGGGAAACAGCAGTACCAGGAGAGAGAAGCAGGGGTAAAACCCTGCAGTACTGTGCAAAGGCTCTAAAAGAGCTAGTGTCGACCTGCAGGAACCACACGGTTCCCTGCAGATACCTGGCAGCCAGTCTCCCGCTCTGCTCTACCTGAGTCCAACCTCACACTGCGCAGAGCTGTGCAGCTCTGCCTGCCTGGTGCAGGTGGGAAAGTGGGGTCAGGTCAGGCCTCGGTGAAGCCCGTGCCAACCCTCACGTCCTCTCCAAGCTGTCTCTGCACGATGCTGCCATGCTGGGGCCGTGGCTCAGAAACATACAAGCTCCCAGCCTGGGGCAGGGTAGCTCTCCCAGCATCCCCAGAACACAAAAAGGCAATTTGGAGGGTTCTAGGGCCCCTAGTCTGATCCCAGCTCCCCTCCAGGCTGCTCAGTTGTTGGGCATGGGCTTGATGAGGGGTCCTGGCTGAAAGCAGCTAGCACATCCCCCTGCCTGCTCCAGAGCGATGAATGAGCTTGTGTTTACTGGTTGGCTGGAGCTGCTCTTTAATAGCTCACTTGCTGTGCCGTGGTCTGTCTGCACTGGCAAAGACAGGCAGGGAAAAGCACTGTCTCCCTGGCAGCGGCTGGCCAGCCAGCTCCTGCGCTGAGCTGCTTTATCCATGGAGATGGAACTCACAGTCTCAGTACATCTCCCAGTGAGCAGGTCTGACAGCTCTGGTGGTCCCCCTCCCAAGCCCGTACAGCAGGCAGACAACCTCCAGCCTGAGCTGGGAGCCCTGGGGCTGGGATGCCCCAGAAGACCTGGCTGGCAGGTTGTCTGCAGCACCCAGGGAGGAGAAACCTGCTTGTGCATCCGGGTGCCCCTGCCCAGGCATCTCTCCCTTATCCATCCTTGGTTCCCCTCCATCTTTCCCTTTCCCAGTTCTCAAGGGAGAGGGGCTACAGCTGTGGCTCCACAGACAGTGAAGCTGATCCATGCTTACCTTGTGATACCCCCTTAGCGTGGCTCAGGGTGGGAGCAGTGCCTACCTAAGATGGTTGGAGGAGCTTGCGCCATCCCTGCTCCATGGTCAGCCCTGAGTTCACGCAGGAGAGTGGAGCAGAGCACAGCCAAGACAAACAGCCCTGTTGCAGCCCCTGGAGAGAAGCTATTTTTGTCCTGCTGTTTGCCAAACGGCGGTGCTGGGAATGGCTCGGAGAGCCAGAGAAACACAGCTCCTCTGGGTGGAAACCATGTAAGGCAGAGCCAGGCCTTGAACTGACATGGAAACACATCTCTGCTTCCT